AAAAAAAAAAAAAAAAAAAAAATCCCCCTTTTCATCATCATCATCATCAACTTCATTGTCTTTCCAAACAACAACTGTAATGTGTTTTTTTTAATTCTTTTTTTATTTATCTCTTCCCCGAGTTATGTGGGCTTTTTCGGCCTTTGCCTTGGTCAGATTGTTTTTTTCTCATCACAGAGAAAACAGCAAAGCAGAGAAAGAGAACCTTCCCACCTCCCCAAAACTTCTCTCTCTACTCTCTCTCTCTCTCTCTCTCTCTCTCCCTATCTTTTCTTTCTGTTTATTGCTTTGTCCACACCACACCGCTTTCATATCCATTTTCTTTCACCATACACTTGTTTTCTTGTTTTTCACTCTCTTTTCTCTCTGCCCTCTCTCTCTCTCTCTCTTCCTCTATCTGGGTTTTCAGCGCTAGCCCTAATATATAAAAATAGTATCAGTTGTCTGATCATCTTCAAGATCGCAGCTTGTTTTGTGATCTGATGCCTAGGAAGGGTAAAGGGGTTGTTTTCGATTCGACACCAAATTACGGTGTTGGGCAGTACGAGGATGCTAAGGCGAAGCTGAAGCATCAGAATCTTATGCAGGACTATGAGGAGTTGCAAAGGGTATCTTTTTACTGTTGTTTTTGTTTTGGGTTTTTGTTTTTTCTTATGTGATTGGGTGATTCAATGATGAATTATATAGTTGTGTGCTTGATGTTGTATGAATTGTGAACTGGTCAGAATTTTATTACCTTGTAGGATTTGATTTATTTGTGATTTTTGCGGTTTCTTTTTTTGTTTATGTGGAAATGTTTGTTAATATTTGTGTTGTGCAAATGATTGTCTTTGGTTTTCGTGTTTTTATTTGATGTTCAGTGATTAAATAAATTGATCTTTTTCCACGTTAGTGCTCTCTTTTCTTGTTGATGATGATCTCCTGTTATTAGATCTTCTCATGCTTGAGGCGGCTTTTTCGATATTTGAAAGCATTGTAATAGCTAGTGATTATCTGAGGCTCCTCTCCTTTCAGTCGAGCATCTGAAAACCTCGATTTCTCTTTCCCTTAATCGTGGTTTTGCTACAAGTATGGAAAACAACAACCTTCCTCTTTTGCTACAATGCCAAAATCTTAATAAGCAAATCGGCTATTGGGCTTTGACGCGAGTGTTCCGGGATTGTCTGCACACATTACGAAGATGATTTTAGCCTTTGTTTATATCAAAGGGGGCTGATGAGGATATTTTAGTTCTTCCTTTTTCTTTTTAATTCCTTAGAAAAAGTTCTCTCTGGATTTCCTTTGGTAGATTAGTTATAATTTGCCATATGGAAACAGTTTGTTCAAGTGGCATATGAGCTTTTCGTGCTGCGCTATACCGAGTTTCTCATGGATGCTTGCTGAGGTTTTCTTAATATTGGTATCATTTTTTTCAGTACTTAGCTAGATGTGGCTTTAATGAAGCTGAACCGCCTCATTCGATTTTCGGAAATTTACTTTCTTCAGATGCTTTTAATGCTACATTGTTGTCCTGACTCCAGAGCATAGCAATTATCTGGAAAATAATTAAAAATTACATGATTTGCAGGAAACTGGTGCTATGAAGAGCAAATTAGAGGCGGCTAATAAGAGGAAGTTGATTCTCGCTGCCGAAGTTCGGTATGTAGTTTGATTTTTTATGATAAGACTGAACCTTCGGATGTTTTTTTCTCACTCGGATGGCTTATTAGTTTGAAATTGCTTTTTAACTTAACCCTCGACATCTGTTTCTTGGGAAATTTCTGGGTTTTATTTGCTATGCCCAATTTTGGAGTACTAACGTAATTCTATTTTCCTTAGTAAGAATCATCCATGACTAGGGGAAGTCCGAAATTGCTTAATAGCTTAACCCTCGACATCTGTATCTTGGGAAATATCTTGGTTTCGTTTGCTATGCCCAATTTTGGAGTAATAGTGTAATTCTTTTTTCATTAGTAAGAATCATTCGCGACTAGGGAAAATCCGAAAATGTGTGTACGCCCATTTACATTTAACTGTTGGGATTTTGTCGTTGGGCAGCTTTAGTATGTTTTTTTGGTCAATGACTGTGGTGAGTGTTTGCTAACAGCTAACACAGGAAACAATGGTTCTTACGTTTTAGCTAAAAAATGAAGAATCTGTATGCTTAATTGCCTACTAGCCTTTGCTTCTGGTTCTGTTTTGTTTACTAGGAATGATCCCAGTTTGCTTTATACAAAAGAAAAATAAACAGTTTTGAGCATTAAACAGTGTTTGCAGTCACTCGTTAAACAGTGTTGGGACATTTTCTGTTTTACACGATAAATCCTTATTGCAACTACTGTCCCTATGCAGGTTTCTGCGAAAAAGATATGAACACCTCATGAAATCAAAGAACATGGCTTCTTCACAAGAACATATGCAGAAGAAAAATCCACTTAAAGTAGTTAAATCCTCAAAGGAACCTGTTTTCATCACAAATGAAGCAAGTCAGCATATACTACCTAAAGTTTCTCAACCAAAAAAGAAAAAGCAATATTTAGTCGAGCAAGCTGTTCTGAGCAATGCCTTTGCTGCAACTACCGATCAATCTCATAATAAAGGAAAACAAACTACAAAACGAAGTTCGACTCCGGTTTCTAATCGGAACCAGAAAGAAAAGAAGCGTAAGAAAGAAGCTGTGGCTCCAAACATGGCCTTATTGCATGGCAAAAGCCAGAAGGAAAGTATTCTTTGTGGTAATGACATGAGTTTAAGGAATCCAACTGCGACCTTCGATCTGAACGAGGATGGTTGTCCCAATGGGAAAGAAGCAGCTTTTCCGAGCCGAGCTCCGATTTTCGACTTGAATGAAATCTTGGTTGGTACATAGTTGGACTTTTGCAGTGAAATTTCTTTTTTTTTTTTCCTTTTTTTTTGGGAAAAAAAGGGAAAATTGGTTTAATTTGTTTTTTTTTTCTTCACTTTTTTTGTAATAGACAGGGGATGAGGATCTTGGGATGAATGTTGAGGCAGCCATGTCTGAAGAAGCAAAAAAGAACTTAATCAGAGGCATAAACGACGAGCAGCAAAATGATTTGAAGTTGGCTGTGTGTAGAAATTCTGGAGAAGGATCGTCTCGTGTTGTGGGGAAGAGGAAAATTTCGTGGCAGGACCCACTTGCTTTGAGGGTTTGAGGCTTCGGTTCCCTTTGTTTCTGTTTTAATATACAGAATGTTTAAATTAGAAACTATTTCGCGTGACTAGTAAAAGAAGAATGTCGGTAGATAGTTTAACGGGACTTGTTTACTCGTAAATTAGTAAGCATCTTTGGCTCATTCTGTGTACAGATAAAGCAGGTTTTGAGTATCAGTTTTGAGTATATGCCTACAACAGTTTTAATGTTTTGGGGGATGATAATTTACAGAAGTTAACTGGCTAGCTAGCCAGCAGCAGGGCTTTTGAAATTACAAACAACCCAGTCAAGACTACTCAAACTAAAAATAAATAAATAAATAAACAAATGAACCATCTCTTTGTAAAATAAGCTACAATTTCAACATGCAAAATGCAATTTGCCAAATTAATATTTTCATAAGTTTGTGTGATGGCACAATCTGAAACTAGTTCTTCACACTCAATTCATCATACAATGAGTCAATGACCAATCCATGATACACAAACAATCTCTTGCTGCAAAACCAGACTTCCAAACCTCCAATGTATATATCATGTGCCATAACACAAAACCCAAAAAGCAAAGGGAATCACATCATATTATTAGACTCCCCTTCAAGCCGATCGAGCGGCCGTGACCCTCAAGAAACGTTAAGCCCTTCGTCTTTTGCCTCGTCAGCCATATCTCCCTTGGCCAACCCCACGTCTGCCTCGTTTTCAGCCACAGGATCACAAACCCAGCCCTCATCAACAGACAGTACATTTTTCCATCTTCTTCCACTCCTTCTGGTGTAGACTAGCTTCCCGACATCACCTTCCCGATTACCGAGCGTGATAATTTCCTTCTGTTGTTCGGCTACTTTTCTTTCCACCGAGCCCTCATCAACAGACGGTACATTTTTCCCATCTTCTTCGAGTCCTTCACAATTAGCAAGCATGATAATTTCCTGCCGCTCGGCTACTTTTCGCTCCACCGAGCCCTCATCAACAGACGGCACATTTTTTCCATCTTCTTCGACTCCTTCACGATTAGCGAGCATGATAATTTCCTTCCGCTCGGCTACTTTTCGCTCCACCGAGCCCTCATCAACAGATGGTACATTTTTTTCATCTTCTTCAACTCCTTCGCGATTAACGAGCATGATCGTTTCCTTCTGTTTAGCGGCTACTTTTCGTTCGATTGCTTTAACTTCAAGCCGCCTGGCATGTTTCTTCCCGTTCTTATGACTATTCATGTTATCCACCGAATTGGACCATACCTGGCACAAATCACACCAAAACCTATACCTGCTGTTGTTTGAATTGTCTTCTGCATTTTGATTTTCCTTCGGGGGAGATTCTGAAAGGCCCGATATCTGCTCGGTAGCTTTTCCCTTTGATAAAAGCACAATAGAATAGCTTTTGCCGCCTTCGTCGTATCTTTTGGCGGCCTCCCTCGATTTGTGCTTCTTTCCTGTTAAGTGCTCGTTGAGAGCTTGTTGACATGTGGTGCTGACCTGGCAGAGGGAACAACTCCACTCCTCTTTAGCTCTCTTTTTCGAGACATCGCCAGCTAGCGGAATCACGGCCTTCCTCTTTGATCCATGTAGAGTTTCATTTGGTTTGACCTGCAAGACTCAGAAGCTCAAAATAGCGACACAGCACTAAATAAATTAATGTTTAGAAACTTGCAGTGTTTGATAAACTTCCAAAGAACTCAACTTTGAATAAAAATGTTGTGAAGGTTTTCGACAATAGATACAATGGGACACGATGAAGAGAAACTGTACATACAAAGGAATAAGAGTTGACAAGAATTCCATGTTCGAGATCCCATGTGGATATTTTAGTCGAGAAATTTTTGTCGGATGACATTTAAAAAGAGCATATAAGAGAAAAGGAAATGATTAGACCATTCTTTTCTCAGCTCATTTAAGCATCAAGGCAGAGATAATAGATTATGTTAAAGACTCTTCTTCACTTCTTGATACGAGCTTAAATGATTGTGACTTAAACTATCTCTACACTACATAAGTTAGTGCACCAACATGAAGTACATTCAAGAGTCTTCCAATGTTTCAAAGCCTTTCATCTAAATCCACTCTTCCAAACTCAAGCTCACTCCAACATACAAAAACCACTAGCAAAGCTACACTTGCAACATTACACGCGTCTTAAAAGTGTTACTTCATTCGACTATCGCTACAAAGAAAGAATGTATATTATCAGAAAACGCAAACAGAGAGAGAGAGAGAGAGAGAGATGCTGACCGACAGAACAATCTTCGGTTTCTCTTTGGCGCCATTCGAAACTTTGTCAGGCAAAGGCTTTGCGAGAGGCGAAGTCCCGAAAACTCCATCCGAAGCCGGGCCAAGCCTTGAAGACGATCCGAACGGGACTGGTGGAGGAAGATGAATCACGTGGGCCACACCACTCGTCAGACGGGTAAGACCCATCTCCCTCTCGACCATCATCTCCCACTGCACCTCGGCCTCGAGAGCAAGCCTTCTCTCGGGGATAATCTCCTCTTTGGCGCCATCCGAAACTCTGTCGGGCAATGGCTTCGCGAGAGGCGAAGTCCCGAAAACTCCATCCGGAGCCGGGGCAAGCCTTGAAGACGGTCCGAACGGGACTGGTGGAGGAGGATGAACCATGTGGGCCCCACCACTCGTCAGACGGGTAAGACCCATCTCCCTCTCGACCATCATCTCCCACCGCACCTCGGCCTCGAGAGCAAGCCTTCTCTCGGCGGTTATCTCCTCCCTTATCCTCTGCTTCTCGATCTCCCTCCAAACCGACCCGAGCAGCCCGGGAGTAGAGAGAGAAAGAGGGTAAGAGAGAGGATGAGTGTGGGGCCCACCGGGACGCTGAGTACCCGCAAGTTCGACTCCCACATAGCTGCCTGAATCAGAGAAAGCAAATGCTTGCTATAAGAACACATGCCCAAAATAGAAACTGAAACTCAAATATCCATTCCTAATTGCTATAAATAACTAAACCGAGCTAAGGGTAAAAAAGCGTAGAAATTTGACAAAACCTAGAAATTACAGTGTGCTACTGACCTTGTGATTGAGAATGAACAGGTGAAAATCGATTAATTTTTGGATACTCGGCTACCATTTTTTTTTCATTGTACAAAAAAAAAAAAAA